TTTTTTTTTTTTTTCTCCATCATCATTCATTTCTTTACCCGTTTCTCATTGTTTCAATCAACAGAACACAGTTTTAACCAATGACACCATTGATAATAATATCAATTTATACAAAATAAAATAATAAAAAACAGATAACAACAACAACAACAAAAAACTAATAAAAATTAAGATCTGAAAAAAAACGAATAGTAATACCGTTTATAATGATATAAATTTTACCTGGACTCAGTATATTGTCAATTGAAAATGGCAACGAAGCCATGGACTTGGATACTGCCGTTGTCTCGTTGTCGCTTTTTCACTCGCCAATTTGGTTGCTCAATTTTGTCTTTGCTCACTTCCACCACCAAAACACCTGTTTCTGAGCAGAAAAAAAAAAAAAATGTTTTCTTTTACAGAATGGGCGGAGCTAGTCTAAAGCAACAGCCAATCACCACTTATGGATCGCAGTATTATCGTAATCGTTTTGAGGTATCAAAAATATGACGAAGAAAGCAGAAAAAAAAAATTGGAAAAAATTAAAAAAAAAAAAAAAATTGCAGCATAAATTAATCTAAATCACTTGTGACATTGGAAAATGTTAAAGTATTACTTTTTTTTTTTTATTATGGCTAGAAAATTAATCCCGTAAATCCATTAAAACTATTCGACTTTGATTCTCTTTTTCCTCTTTTTTTTTTTTGCACATTTTTAATCGAACTTTTTTTTTTTTTCGTTTGTCACTAAGAAACTGCAGTAGTTGGTTGTTTCTGCTGATGGTAGTTATCTGTCTTTTCTCCTGTTTTTATACAGTCATCGTTTTGCTTTGCTACTGACAGCATCAGCAGCAACCAAAGCAGTAGCAGCAGCAGCAGCAGCAGCAGCAGTAGTAGCAGCAGTACCATCACCGTCACCGACAACAAAAAACCTTTCTAATTCAGTAATCAATTATAATCATTAAAAAAAAGCAGTAGTACAGCTAATGTTTTTAAAAATAAATAATTTTCAAAATTTCTTTTTTTTTTGATAACACAAGTTTAATTATTTTTGTTGTTGTTGTTGCTGTCTTTTAACTGTTTTTCCAGTTTTTAACTGGCAATAAAATATCGAAAAGATAGATAAAAAAAACAAGTAAACTAAAATAATGTTTACAATTAAAACAAAATCTTTATTAGTATACCAATTCTTCCAACCTTGTCGCCTCCTTATTTGTCTTCCTGTATTATTCCCTTTCAACTGTTTGTATTTAAACGTTGTAAAGAAAAAGAAGAAGACAAAAAAAGCTCTTTTTTCTTAGAATGGTTAAGAATCCAAAATAGCAACAGCATATAAGAACAGTCGGTAACTGAAGCAACAGAACTGTTGCCGTATTTATAACAATTTTTATCACTTACTTACAGATATTCAATTATAAAAAATGCTTCCTCTTCTTTCTTTTCATTTTTTCCTGTTTGAAGCCACTTTTTTGACAGTTATATATCTGAAAGCCAATTAACACTTCTATATCAACTTTATTATAGTCATCCTGCAGGAAACAGTTTTGTATTCTGATAAAAAGAGCACAATTGCAATATACCATCAATGTTTTCTCATAAGTCACGACGAAATAAATTAAATAAAAAATAAAAAATTGAATTAAAAGTAAAAAAAAAATGTTATTTGAACTATTTGTTTAAAAATAATATGTTTTTGTTAAAGTTCTCATTTTCTGTACACTTCCCCGGTTTTTTAGTTTCGCTTTTGTTCTTCATTCAATGTCTGTAGACTGTAATTTCACTGAGATCTGCATTTAACAATTTATAGTATAGTTTATATACATACAAAGCTTTACAAAATTTACAGAAACAACAAAAAAAAACAACTAAAACTTAATTAGCAGCATTTTGTCAATAATCTTTATCGTTAATAAATTCATTGATCAAGACGAAAAAAAGCATTATTGAAGTATAGCAACTCAAAGAACTTTTGCTACAATAAATTAGTGGTGGGGAAAAGAAAAGCTTCAAAAAAATTTCAAATACTTCGTAAAATTTGGACTATTCTTGGTTTTATTTTCTATTTAACTCGATAAAAATAGAATATTATGCCATAACTAATGAAACAACAAGTAACCGGATAAACGGAAATCAGGTTCACCATTTCGACGATTTATTTTGTTCATCTTTTGTCAGTCACTACTATTCTATTATCGTCAGCAACAACAATACGACGATGGCCTAGAAACTGTACAACATCAAAAAAAAATGTTTACCTTCTCCTAAAGTGACCTGCAAAAAATAACTGTATTTTTCTACCTTTCACTTCAGAACAAATAATACAAATTCAGCAATTGAACAACAGCTCTTTGACATCACTGTTACAGAATATGAATTCTTAGAAAGAAAGATGCAGAACAAAATTAAAATTCGATAATGCTTGAATACTGTAAGTAATTATCAGACAACAACTGAACACTAACGTGACACCTTTGGAATACTTTCGATAAAGATG